ATTTTAATACATACATATAATATAAAAAACTACACAAATCATAAAAATGTACTCTGACAATGAAGAAGAGTTGGACAGTGTTGGCATTTTGTCAGTTGCAGTAACAACTCCACTAATGGAAAGTTCTGCATCATCTGTATTATTCCTGGAAATAGAGGTAGCATTTCTAGTTAGAAAATTATTAAGTATTGTCTGTATAGTCATTTTCTTTTTTATTCATATATCTCCTGTTAATATCTCACTGCTTCCTGAATCTGCCTGTTGATTTTAGCAAAGTGATCAGCATTTGGTCCATGTTTTCAAGCAACTGAAGCCCTGATTTAGTTTAGAAAAAACTTCAGCTAATCATTTCACTGTAAACATTTTTAACAATTTTTCTTCTTCTTCTTCTTCCTCATCATTTCTTTCTTCTTCAGTGTTTCTTTCCTCCTCAAAATCCATTAACTCCTGATCTGTGAGGTCATCTTTTTTGTGATACGTGACCTGTTCCATATTGGCAATATCAAGCTGTAAATTCAGTGTTTTTGTCATAGGAATGATTTTTTCACCAATCTCTTTCATTGTATTATCTTGATCAAATGCTTAGAACATGTTCACATAACTCAGCAACTTTTTTCAAATTCTCTGCATGTATTTTCCCATGACTTCCTCCTGGGAAAATGCACTATTCCAGATACCCTGAAGAATATTACAGTTCTTCCAGAAATTGTATAATGTTACTGTATCTCCATCTGTTACAGCTATTGCCTGAGCAAATTTAAATTTAGTTTGTAGATAGCGTGCCCTAAAAGTGGTGATTGCACCTTGATCCATAAGTTGAATCACAATTATTTTATTGAGAGGTAAGGGAGAAAGAAAAAAAAAAAAAGAAAACAGACTTGTCATAAGTGTGGTTCGTCGTAATTCAAATACATTGTAGTCGGGGACCACTTGTAGTTTATAAGAGCAGCTTGTCACTTTCTGAAATACGTGTCTGGCCATTGCTGGCAGGGTTAGGGGTGATTCCTAGTCACCTGTACCTGATTTGGTAGGGGTTGTGGAAGTAATAGTGGAACATCACTCAAATATGACCTAGAAATGTCCTTTACCAGCCAGTTCTTGCCTTGCCTTTCACATCTGCAGTCTACCTTTGCAAACCCTAAAATGCTGATTCTGATTTGGTGATGGTGCGTGGGGAAGCAGCAGAGCTTGGTGAGTTAGCAGCAGGCTGGAAACTCGGGGGCTGTCTCTGGGAAATCACACACTGTATCTTTCTCAGTGGTGAAGCCAGAGTGGCTCCAGGAGCAATTGGGAGAGAGGAGTGCCATCTAACATCTGGTCCTCTGTGGAAAATGCCTAAAGTTAGAGAACTGAAAAAACAATGATCATCCCATTAATAAAGGGGCCAGAATTTGTTCTTGTCCTCTGTGTTCCACGTGGCAGTCACTGACAAATGGTAATACAACCTTTACCATCTCAAGCAATGAGAGAGGAAGATAAAACGTGCTAGGTGGTTAGCATCAGCCATGCTATGTTAGAAAGTGTGCACAGGTCATGGTGGGGAGAGTCCTCTCCTGCCTTCATAGGGGCTTTTACAAATTGAGGAGACACCAGAAATAGATACCTGTGCCACCCTATCTGTGTGATCTCGGAAAAATCACTAACCAGATTCTGTCTAAAAATCGGAATAATGACCCTTTCAAAACCCACCTCACTGAAATATAAAAACATTAATATAGAGGAGGTAGATTGTATGTAGGATCTGGGGGAAAGAAAAAATATCAATGTACATCATTTTTAGGAGGATCTTCCTGTAGTCCTTAAAAACATAATTTTAATGGCTATAAATAAGAAATTAAGACCAATCATTAACCATATTGGAATTGATTTCTCAGACATCTTCCAGTGGGCAAGGTAAGAATGGGATATGGAGTGGTAAGTTCTGAAGGGAGGCAGGAAAGGTGTGGGCAGCAATAGTCTGTGGTAGGCTGGAACCTCATAGGATGGGGGGCTGGGTAGTCCCAGGAAGCACAGTGATGGGGTTGCCTGAATGGGAAATGAGGGGGAGTACTCAAAACTAATTTATATGTATTCTGTACATCACACTCTTGATTTTGTATATGTATATTGGCATTTAAGTGTCTAAAGCTAATTATCACCTTTTGTGAAAATGGAAATATTTGTAAAAGCTAATTAGGCTAGAAGGAGCTCTGGTTGTGCAGTGGTTAAAGCATTTGGCTGCCAACCAAAAGGTTGGAGGTTCAAAACCACCAGCTCCTGCATGGGAGAAAGGTGAGATAGTCTGCTTCTGTAAAGATTTACAGTTTCAGAAACCCCGTGGTGAAGTTCTGCTCTGTTCTGTAGGGTCGCTATGAGTTGGAATTGATTTGGTAGCAGTGGACTTTTTTGTGGTTTAATTACCCTGGAGAACATTTGCATCAATAGGCCACCTACAAGCCTGTGTAGGTGATGCATTATGTTTAAGTAAACCAAATGCCTATCAGTAAATGGTGAGGTTCTGAGGATTTTTGTGGATGGCTGTCTTCCATGGAGTTGTGGTATACTTCTTCAGATAGTAGTATATTAAGGCTCTCCAGCCAGACTTTCTTGAATACTCTTTCCTTTCAAGTGAATGCCATAGGATTACCAGATGGTTTCAGTTTGTGGTTTAAAGAATATCTCAGGGCAGTAGTCTCAGGGGGTCCTCTAGTCTCAACTGGTCCAGTAAGTCTGCTTTTTTTTTTTTTTTTTAATACTAGACAAAGCCAAACTTGTGGACATCTTCTCTACCCACAATGCCTTGCTGAGGCAAGGACTCTAGGTAATTCTTTCCTCATGAGTAGCTATGTCTTCACCTCTTAATTCAACCTTCCTGGTCACAGCTACTGGCACCAGAAGAAGCCACCTGCATTCTACCTGTGCCTTACGAGGTGCCTTGGCATGAAAACACTGTTTTACAGGCATAAGAGTGATGTGCTGAGCCTATCAGATTCTGACAAGAGTTTGAACTGAAGACATGGCAAAAGTCATTCAGTTACAAGAAAAACCTTAGGTGAAATGCCCTCAGAGAGAAGGCAGAATATAACATCATGAAGCACTAGACATCATGAGTAAGCAGAAACAAGAAGAAGTAGATACTGTGAAGTTCAGGGGACTCCAGAGGAAGGGACAGTTTGTTGGTAGCAACAGATGGATAGCTGAGACTCTAATGGCAGAGGATAATCTGGATAATCCAATAACGAGCTATACTGTATTCTTCCAATTTCTAGATTGTAATTTGAGGGAGCAAGGTAAGCACGGGCGGGCTTGTGCTTACTCACTGATTTGCACTGAACACTTTCCCTTGTTACCCTCCCAAGAGGGACCGGGTCTCCGG